TCCTGTCAAATTTCTCCCAATCAGAACCCGAGTCGCACTACTGGCATTGTGGGAAAGGATCAAATGGAGGTTTAGCTTGTAGTATTAAGGGTGGAAGGTGGGGATGGAGGTGGAACTTGGGGGGGGGGGGGGGCGGGAGCTCAGTTGTGGGACTCCACTGTCCCCTCAGCTCTATTCTGCTTGCTGTGGAAGCTCAATTTCTTTCCTTCTCTACATCATTGACCAGACTGGGAAGAAGTCCTTTGTTTTAAATTAACTTTATCAAATAACTGTTTAACATTATGTGCAGGGCATACTTAACACAAATGTGCCTCTCTGCCCCTCTCTATGTCGCTGTTAGCTAGTCGAGGGTAGTAAACTGTGAGGTGGTGAGCTGGCCACAACACTGCAGAGTTTATCTCCTAGGCAGAGATAGGATGATATAAAGGACTATAAGCTTATGAGAGTCTTGGAAGGAAGAGGACACATTTTTTTTTTTTTTAAAACAACAGCCATCGTAACAGGAATGAGGCGACACCTCTCCATTGTCTGATTGTTTAGTGGCTGTAATGATGTCAAAGATCGTGAGTATCTTTACAGAAATCCCTATTAGGGTCCTTTGCCTAGTTAAAATTTGAGTTGTTAAAAGTGAAACGTAGAGCTATTTTGGGTATTATTCTCTGATCAAATGTATGGCTACAAATTAATTGTTCTAGCTGGGCAGTGGGGGCGCACGCCTTTAATCCCAGCACTCGGGAGGCAGAGGCATGGGGATCTCTGTGAGTTCGAGACCAGCCTGGTCTACAGAGCTAGTTCCAGGACAGGCTCCAAAGCTACAGAGAAACCCTGTTTCGAAAAAACCAAAATAAAATAAAATAAAAATAAAAATAAAAAATAAATAATTGTTCCTCATTCTGTAGGTTGCATTTTAATTTAATTGAGGCAATTATCTAATTTCTGTGTGCATATTTTTATCATAGCAACTCACGCATACACAGAATACAAAACAGGTACATTTTGTCTGTTTTTCTGAATTGAATCACCAGGGTGAGGACCACCTCATGTGATCTGGACACCAGTGAGGGTGAGCTGCCATTGGCAGTTAGGAGGTGGGACTGTCCAGCAGGTGCTGTAGGCATGCAGCTTGGGGAAGAGGTGGAAGCTTGTGGAATCATGGTTTGGGGTGATAACACAGAAAAGGGGGACCCTCCTTGTAGCAGCCTACACCTGTGGTGAGCAACACGGAGGCCTGCGATCCCTCCCTGCTTCCTGAGCCCAGGGCTTTGCAGCTCATCACATTAGGGAGAAATTGCTGCTTACACAGCCCGAGTGCAACTGGTCTGGCACTTGTGTGAACCCCGGGTCACGGCTGGAGGGACAGTATGAAAACCTGCAGCCTCTACAGTCCTTGGGCGAAGCCACTAACCCCCCAGAGAAGCTTTGCTGACTCTCCAGCTGACCTTTCCTGGCGCTCCAGCTCCTGTCTCTCTCTCTCTCTCTCTCTCTCTCTCTCTCGTCATCTCTTCTGCACATGCAGAGAGCTTTATGAGAATGATTCTTGATCAACCCAGCACAACTACTTACCCTATAATATATCACATTATGTACTAGAAGTTATGTTGACATAATTTAAAGTACTGGGGTTCCTGTGACCAATCCCCCTATAGACACCAAGGGATACTGTAATGTCCTCTAGGTTCATCCACATGATAACAAATGAAATGCTGCTTTTCAAACCTATGTAGTATTTAATCTGTGTATATGTCATTTTTTTTTCAAGACAGGATTTCTCTGTGCAGCTTTGGAGCCTGTCCTGGAATTTGCTCTGTAGACCAGGCTGGCCTTCAACTCACAGAAATCCGCCTACCTCTGCCTCCCGAGTGCTGGGATTAAAGGCATGTGCCACCACTGCCCGGTGTATATACCGCATTTTGAAGATATATTTGCTCCTGTATAGACATCTAGGTGAGTCCCATGTCTTAGCCGTTGACAGCGCCACAAAGAACGTGTCAGTCCATATGTCTCTTCCACACACTGATTTCATTTCCTTTGGATAGACGCCCAGGAGTTGGAGAGATCTATTAAAATAGGTCTATTTTTAATTTTTTGATGTGGGGGATTATTGGACATGTGGATGAGCCTGCAAAGAAATGGTCCCACAGAGCTGAGACCAAATGTGGGAGGCAGGGCTGGAGGAAAGATCTACACCTAGAAGAGGAACTAGGATGCTGGGGAGCCGGGTGGAGCGCTCCCACACCCTGCAAACAGTTTCTGCAGCTCTTTCCAGAGCTGGCTCCAGCTGCATGCTTCTGGAACCCTCTATCTCTTTTTCCTGTCTTCAATAAAGAGCAGTGCATAGGGACACGTGGGGAGTGTCCTAAGATCATTCTACTACAGGCTTGTGGGTCAGGAAAAGACCTCCATGCTCCCACACAATACGCATGTGGGCCGGACCTGCCAAGAGGAACTGCCAAGGGCGGTCCAGAGGGGCTGCGGTATCAGGATGTCCATACCTGCTCTTCCACGTGGTCTCTGATGATGGCAGCTCGGGTACCTGAGTTCAACCTCCTCCTACCTGAGCTGGGTCAGTGTTGCTCTAGAAAGCAAGCACAGGAACACATCGGTCTTCCTTCTGGCCCCCGCCCCACTTCCAGGCTTCCATCTCTCCCTCCCTTGCCCCCCTGTGTGTGTGCATGCACATGCGCATGTATGAATGTATGTATATGTATGAGTGCAGGCAAACATGTGCCTCCTGTGTGGAGGTCTGAGGATCATCTCAGGTATTGTTCTCAGGTTCCACCTTGAGGCAGGGTCTCTTTGTTAGCTGCTGTGTATAGCAGGCAAACTGGCCTGGGAGCTCTAGGGATTTTCCTATCTTCCTTAGAAGCACTGGAATTATGGTCAAGTGCTAACCTGGCCCTGCGCTGCCTGGGACCTGGGAATTCATGCTTGCATGGCAAGCTCTTTACTCCCCCATCTTGCTGGCCTTTCTCTGTCCATTTGGTACACACTCGGAGTTTCTTCAAATTTAGGTGAGATTTACAAGATATGATGAACCACTTTCATGTGAGCAGTTGAGGGACATCTGGTACATTTTCTTTTGTTGTGACCATCACCTGTGTCTTCTTCCACAACCACACGAGGAAGTTCTGTTCTCTCCTCTTCCAGCTCCTGTGTCTATTGTTGGAACATGCCTGTTCTGGACACTGAGGTCCAGTCATGTGCATGAATCAGTGCTTCATTCCCTTCCGTCGACTAGCACTCCGTTATGAGGACAAACCCGTCTTGCGGATCTGTTCATCAGCTGATGGATATTTGGGCTCCTCTTTTAGCTTGGATAAATGATACTATCGTTGCATCTGTGTAGCTTCTGCTAGATATCTATTTTCATTTTATTGGGCATATACCCTAGGCATGGCCATGTGGTGTTGAATCCAGTGAACATTCTCTTTTCAAGGCAGCTGCTGCTGGTACTTTACATTTCTGGAAATGGTAATCCAGAGGACTAGATTTTAGGTCAGGGTTGTTTCAGTCCAACTTTCTGTAATATTATAGACACATCCAGAATCTGTGCTCTCTTGGTATTCACTGGTCACATAACCCTGAGCAGTAGACAAGCCACATCTTTGTATTATATTTTCCCTAATGGAAAATTAAATATTCCTTTTGGATGGTGGTTGTGCATTTGACAGGAAGCCTTGGAAGTGGGAGATGAGAAGCTAATTCAGTACATCTTCCTCCACAATGCTTCCATGACACCATTAAATAGTAACATCCAACTCCTAAGTTTAACTGCCACTCAAGAGATTAAGAAACTACAATAATCTATGAATACACACAAACTAAAGCTAGAACTGAAGATTCTCACTAAATACATAAGGGGAAGATCTCAAGGTCCAACCCTTGGGCGTTGGTTTACTGACACCACCCACCAGCAGACTGTACAATCTATATGCAGTTTTTGTCTATTGTGTGGTTCAGACTCACAGTTGAATACATTGCTTATTCTTGGGCAAACAGGTTTTTGAGATGTTGATATTTTATACAGATTTGTGATTACAGACGGTGTCTGAGGAGGCTTGAATAGACCCAGTTTTGGTAGGGTATATATACTGAGCATTATATAATTGTCTTGCTGTCCTGTATTGCCAAAATTTAAAGAGAATAGCACAGTTAACAGGAAAGGGGACACATGTCGAACTCGGTGGCATTTTAACCAATTGTCATAACTCATTTAATCCCCCTTAACCCTCACTTTTCCCACTGTTAGTGATTTTATTTGTAACTGTCCCACCATTCTTTATTCTGCCCGTAGAAATCACAATCCTCTCTAAAAACTCCCATTTTACTTGATGTGATGCTAATCATGTTCTCCTTTAAACTTTACTATTGGACATTGCTGCACTCTCAAACCTAGTTTTACCAAAACCGACTAATTATTTTGTTTTTCAAGGTTAAGCTACTTAAGTGGGTAAGATTGATCAGTTCCAAACGCCTGCTGGACCACCATCATGGCCATCTATCTGTAATACTACCACTTATATATAGGGCAGCACTGAGCTGTGTCGCTCCCGTCCCCGACAACTTCGAGTTGTTCGCTTTCCAAAAAAAAAAAAAAAAAAAAAAAAATCCCTGACGCTTTTGGAAATTTCAACGTGATTAGACCCTAACTCGAGTGGACTTACGTTTTAGTAGAACCGGAAACATTAGAGACACCAGTTTCTAACCTTCCAGTGCCTAATGCTAACTCCAGCCAAACCAAGTGTCCCCTAAGGTTCAAGCACGAACCTTAACGGAAACCGAGTGTTTAACACGAGTGGTGGGGGACAAACCCCGGGGGCCTCCAAACAGACCCTAGGCCAACTGCAGACGGAAGCCGTTGGCCTGAGCGGTCACCACCCCAGGCGCCGCGCGGAAATGCACAAACGCATGGAAGGAAGCGGGAGACCCAGCCCTGGCCAGTACCAGGCGGTAACAGGCTCAGTGTACAGCTCTTTTTGAGGTTGTGGGTGGCTCTGAAAAGAGCCTTTGGTGTCCGTTAAGTAGCACTAGGGACCAGAAGGGCCTCACTTGCCCTTGGCCTTATGGTGGCTTTCGGTCTTCTTGGGCAGCAGCACCGCCTGGATGTTGGGCAGGACGCCGCCCTGCGCGATGGTCACACGGCCCAGCAGCTTGTTGAGCTCCTCGTCGTTGCGGATGGCCAACTGCAGGTGGCGCGGGATGATGCGCGTCTTCTTGTTGTCGCGGGCCGCGTTACCAGCCAGCTCCAGGATCTCGGCAGTCAGGTACTCCAGCACCGCTGCCAGGTACACCGGGGCGCCGGCACCCACCCGCTCCGAGTAGTTGCCCTTACGAAGTAGGCGGTGCACACGGCCCACAGGAAATTGTAGACCGGCGCGGGAGGAGCGGGACTTGGCTTTTGCGCGAGCTTTGCCGCCCTGCTTGCCACGACCAGACATCTCCAACTGATAACCAAAAAGAGTAACACGAACCAACGAAAAAGCTAGCGCTAACGACTCCGCAAGCGCCAACAAGCCCTTATATATGATCGGGAGGGAGGCTAGACTGCGCCTTTCTATTGGGTAGCAGCGTTAGCCAATCGGAAAAGGAACACGGCGAGCCTAATTTGCATATCCCTTGATCTCCGATGACGTAATGTGCAGTTGTAGTCAATCAAAAGCGAGCAATGTTGATCCTTCATTTGAATACGATACGTACAAATAGAGTTGGTGCAGCGGGCGTAAGTGTTTCTTCACAGTAGCTAGCTAATATGCCTGATCCGTCCAAGTCCACTCCGGCCCCCAAAAAGGGGTCCAAGAAAGCCGTTACCAAGGCGCAGAAAAAGGACGGCAAAAAACGCAAACGGGGCCGCAAGGAGAGCTACTCCATCTATGTGTACAAGGTGCTGAAGCAGGTGCACCCCGACACTGGCATTTCGTCTAAGGCCATGGGCATCATGAACTCGTTCGTCAACGATATTTTCGAGCGCATCGCCAGCGAGGCCTCCCGCCTGGCGCATTACAACAAGCGCTCGACCATCACGTCCCGCGAGGTGCAGACGGCCGTGCGTCTGCTGCTGCCCGGGGAACTGGCTAAGCATGCTGTGTCCGAGGGCACCAAGGCTGTCACCAAGTACACGAGCTCCAAGTGAGGCGCTGCGCGGGCGTCCTCAATCCAAAGGCTCTTTTCAGAGCCACCCATACAGTCGTTAAAAGGGTCTTGAACACAGTGTGTGGAGGCATTGATGGTTGTCACGCACCTGATAGGACTGGGTACGACCAAGAGAGATGTGTTTGGAGTAAGGAATGTAGGGCTGCAGCTGCTCTGCTCTTCCTAAGGATGGGATGTGGACGATGGCCACGGGAGGAGTCAAGGGGCGTGAGTCCCCTCCCCAAGTCTTCCCCAGGTGGGCGAGGTCACAAGAATAGTAGGACTCTGGGTGCCGCGCGTCCTGGGTGGCCTCTGATCTGCGTTCCCTTAGAACGTTTCCTGGAATAAACAGGCGTCTTATCCCCTGGATATGACCATTCTGGCATTATATATATATATCTAATAGATCCTGCCCTAGCGGTTTGCTGGAACCGAGGTTGAAAAGGCATGGCGACACCCTGAATGCCTGTGTGCAGAAGCTGGATCTAGCCAACTGCAGCAGCCAGCAGGGTTAGTGGTTCGGGGATGGAAGGATTTGGGAAAGAATCCTGTTGTTTTGAGCAAATGAATTGCTGCCCTGAGCTGCTTTATTTTCTGTAAAGCATTGGTATCAGAATTTTCCACGCTCAGCATTTTTTTCTTCTTTTCGGAGAATGCCGTTTTGGTCTGGCAGGAAATCTTACCTGTGGAAAGAACACAGCTTTCCTTGGTTTGCCTTTTATTTATGGAGAGAGGATTCATGATAATTACTTGAACCGTTATAAGATATATTGACAGTTATCGCCGTCTCTAGCACAGAATAATAGATACGTTTGGACAGATGTTAAGGGGCAGTCGCCGGGAGAAGATGTCTCCACTGGAATTTCCTACAGTAGCTGTGCCGCCTCCCCCTTTCCACATAAAAAGGATTTTTGACAACTTCAAACGTTTTAAAGTTAGCATCTTAAGTATTTTTTTTTAAATACTAAGTCAATTAGCTGCGAAGATGAAAATGACAACATAGGACTTTTGTTTTTAATTAGTCTTAAAAATACTGTTAGAACATTAACACGAGTCAGGTCAAAGTAAATCAAGTTCTTTAACAGATATTTCAGATGATTTTCTCTGAGAATTTGTCTTTATCTTTCTCGTGCCTCAAATTCTGCCAACAGCAATTAGATGTATATTACATTTTACCAATTGCTGGTCTCCAGAGTTTTCTATTGAAGTTTAAATATGCCAATCAAATTATCTCCGTGTTTAAAGAGGTACACCAGGAAAGCAGACAATTGTTTAAGACACGAATCATGGTATGTTAGTGAAGCTGAGTCTTCCGCTGAGGCTTGATGGGAGGAGGGGTTGGGTGGGAGACTATACTCTGGACCTCTAGTATGTTAGCCAAGTCTCTACCACTGAGATGCCACTCAGCCCTCTTCCTTCCCCCTGCCTGGGTTGTTTATTCAGATCCATTCATGGGTACAAGTAGTTAGTGTGTAGTATATAGCATTATTTTCATTTGACATCTTTTTTATAAAAAGATATAAGTAAGTACACATTAATAGAAGCCTTGTCATAACCCTTGACCCAGTACATTTCTTCTTTAGTTACAGTTGAAAACATAAACCATGTTCCATCATCATAGGGGAGACCACGGTCTGTCTTGTGTCTGCTGTCTCTTACACACACACACACACACACACACACACACACACACACACACACACAAACACACCAGTGTGTCAGTGTCATTATGTAGGCCTTGTTGGTCTAGAGCTCACTATATAGACCAGGCTGTCCTGGAACTCAGAGATCTGCCTGCCTGCACCTCCCTAGTGCTGGGATTAAAGGCATTCACCACCATGGACCCATGCCAGTATTCTTAATTGTCTCCAAAATAGAGAATTTGGAAGCCAGACGTGGTGTTGTCGACTTGAAATGGCAGCAGCTAGGCAGGAGCAGAGGCAGGGGAACCTTTGTATGCTCAACACCAGTGTGGTCTGCATATCAGGTTCTAGGCTATTCAGAGCTACACAGTGAGACTCTCACCAAACAAAACACGAACAGGATATATATATATATATATGTGTGTGTGTGTGTGTGTGTGTGTGTGTGTGTGTGCAGAAGTCAGAAAGGGGGTCAGATCACTTGGAACTAGCATTATTGATGGCTGTCAGCCATTAATGACCCAATTATTGTGGGTGCTAGGAATTGAACTCAGATCCTCTGCAAGAGCTATTCTTGACCCTGGGCCATTTCTCCAGCCCCAAGTTTTAAAGGAATATTTGCAGCTGCTTCGTCTAGGTCCGGGATAACATATGGTTTCAATAAACTGTAACCTTTGTCTCCAGGAGAAAGACGAGCCTGGAAGATGAACCTAAACATTTTTAGTACAAAAGATAGAATCAGCGAGCAAATCTAGCACACAATCACAATTTCCAAGTATGGTTCTATAACAATACATTTATAGTTGTTGGTAATACAATGGTTTAATTTTTAATTCTTTTTCCTGACAAAAACTGGAACTTGAGAATAAGCTGCCCAGGTGTGTTACTTTGGCAGCTACAGCTCAGAATGGGGAAGATTTGTCCTTCTGTAGGCTATGAATATTAAGGAGGTGACAAAGACTGTGGAAAACTGTGCTGTTGAGATTTTATAATATAGAAAATGGAGAGCAACTAACTGTGTACAAAATTCCACTGAACAATTGGAAAGTGTAGCAGTGTACAGCAAATATGTGAGAATTTGTAATAGCAACGAAGACAATGCAAATAATGTGTTTTCTGGATCTGGAATACTTAATGTTAGTGAGGTTGGAGGGGAAACGAGGGATCTGCAGGCGTGCAGTCTGAGAAAATGACGAAACTGCCATTCCCCAGTCTCAGCTAGATGCTCAAGATAAACTTGCTAATTATTAGGGAACAAACTAGGAATTTCGAGCAAGGGAAAAAGCTGTCTCTTTAAGAAGACGTTACTGACAGAAAGACTCGCCTTTCCTGTGAGACAGTGAGAGGTTAAATGTTGACAAATGAGCGCCTGTCACTGGAGGTGGTGCGAGGAGAAAGACGCCATTGTCCACCCCAGAAACCAACATGCAGTCGGAACCAGGGGCAACCAGGAGCTCATGGAAGATGAGCTTCTCCCACATACAATGAACCTCTCATATTGGAATTTTAAGGGGACGGTAGTTTGGACTGTTCTTGCACTTAGTCATTAATGCAGACATAAATTGAGCAGAGCACATATAAGGTTATTATTATTATTATTTTGCTGTTGTTTTAAAGGCACCGATTTCCTTTATTTAAAAGGACGTTTCACCATAACACAACATAGAGTTGTGTTAATGTATACAGACATTTTTATGATCTACATTCATGTGCACACACACATGTATACATTGAGATGAAACAAAAGAACATTTCATCGTTTAAATACATGCACGGATAAAATGTCAGAATTTTCCCTGGCCAGATTTTGGCTTAGTGGTAAGGTTGGTGAGCAAGGGGCTGTGCATAGCATTTTTAGGCGTTTCGAGTAAAATACAACAGAAGACCTGTTTAAACTGTTTTTGTCTGCAAGAGCTCTAAGGGTCTAATCCTGGCAAGGGGAGGAAGGAAGCAAAGGGATGGAGGAAGATGGCTCCGAAAGCATCAGTCACGAAAGCACAACAACCTGAGCCTCAACACGGCATTCCGCTGGACATAGGGGAGGCGGATGGATAGGGTGAAAAGATGAGGAGAGACCCCGCTGCTGACGCCCCCACCCCAACCGCGCAGTCCACCCCAAAATGCCCCCGGAAGCCATCCACTTAACTACGTTTTCTGTGGCCAAAATTGAATCAATTTCTTTATTAATGTATCTTTATAAAGAAGGCATGTATTACCTTCGTGTCCCAATGTCCAGTACAATCCCCATCCCAAAGTACATCAAATGAATGACAGTTCTTTATCACACCAGGTAGCACGCTCCTTTTTTGAGATTGGAAGGTGGCTCTGAAAAGAGCCTTTGGGTTGGGGACGCCCGCGCAGCGCCTCACTTGGAGCTCGTGTACTTGGTGACAGCCTTGGTGCCCTCGGACACAGCGTGCTTAGCCAGTTCCCCGGGCAGCAGCAGACGCACGGCCGTCTGCACCTCGCGGGACGTGATGGTCGAGCGCTTGTTGTAATGCGCCAGGCGGGAGGCCTCGCTGGCGATGCGCTCGAAAATATCGTTGACGAACGAGTTCATGATGCCCATGGCCTTAGACGAAATGCCCGTGTCGGGGTGCACCTGCTTCAGCACCTTGTACACATAGATGGAGTAGCTCTCCTTGCGGCCCCGTTTGCGTTTTTTGCCGTCCTTTTTCTGCGCCTTGGTAATGGCTTTTTTGGAACCCTTCTTGGGGGCTGGAGTGGAGCGGGAAGGCTCCGGCATCCTGCTGCACTGGCTGCACCAAGACGAACAGGGAGACGGCGGAGGCAGGGTTATTTGTCATCCTTATATTTAAATGAGGACTCCAAAGCAGTATCATCTGATTGGACAAACCTAAAATGTTGTAACTAGGAGACACGAGTTCTTTTTTCTTATTGGACAGTATCGCAACCAATCCGAAAGTGCGTTGACTGAGCCGGCTCAGTGTCTCATCTTTGTCTGAACCCTTTGTTTTAACTAGGAAGATTTAGTTTCTTTGGCAGTTGTGGCTGTGGCAGGGACAGTGCTGCAGGACCCGATTCTCGATTCTCGTTGAGCCAAATCACTGGCCATTTGTTTCTCATTAAAAACGAGGGAGAAGCTTATTGCCTGCTTAGTTGGAGGAGGAAATGACAGCTTCCGACTGCCATTTATCACATCATCGTCCCCCTCCAGGGGAAACAAAAGCAAAAACACATTTCTATAAGAATCCTTGAGCGAAGTTCAACAGTTCACGGGAAATCAGAAAACATACTAATGTAGTTTCACTGCGAGTGTGTGGCAGGGTAGATTTTCATCTGGAGAAGGGGTTTTTTGGGACGTCCATAATGCCAGGAGCTGGAGCGAAGGCTGGTGTAATCTTATTGATGGGTTCCGTATTTACAGGATGCAGCAGGTTATAGAAGTTACGCCTCTCATAACGGTTTGTGCGCACGCACCTAAACACGCACACACACACGGTGCTGAGAGAAAAATAAAAAGGCTGTATGTTTACATCGTTCACATTTCAGCATCACTTGGAGAGCTGGCTTTAGAAAAGCCGACCGCTAATTCCCTGCCTCATACACACTGGGTCATCATCTGCATACTACAGTTGAGGAATCCTGGTCTGAAGGCCAATTACCTGCCATTCCTGGGGTAAGTAATCTACTTCGTTCGCACCTCCATTTCTTCATGTGATGGTGGCATAATGCCTGTTGGATGCGGTGAGTTCATATGGGTGAGCAGCCTGGAAAGGGGCCCTGCACAAGCTAGTGTCTAATTCTTGTGAGCTTCTTTTACATCAACACACATCCTTTCTATCTCCCACCAAAACACAGAGCGAACTGTAATTCCTCACGCAGAGATGTGGCTGTTTTTCCAGTGCCTACAGGGCGAAAGACAACATGGTATCCATCAGACGCCCAGCCAATGCTTGGTGAAAGAACAGACCTGGAAGCCCATTCAGCTGGCTGCTGGGGCATTGGGTGCCTTGATATTGGAAGACTTCAGGGGTAGGGAGCCGTGTTTTAGTTATCAGCATGAGAAAAAAGTAATTGTGTAAAAAAAAAAATCACCTAAAGCCTAGAGGTGATGGTACACGCCTTTAATCCCTGCACTCAGGAGGCAGAAGGAAGTAGATCTTTGAGTTCGATGCCAGCCTGGTCTGCAGAACAAGTTCCAGGACAGCCAGGGCTGCACACAGAAGCCCTGTCTTGAAAAACAAAAACAAACAAAAATCACTTAGGGAAAAATATATTTTGAGTGTTAACCCTCCTATACACACAATGTAAATGAACCTTGGGTTAAAATTACTTGCAGCTACCAAGAGTCAAAAGGTGAATATTAGAAATATCTATATAAACTAGAGAACATTTACAAATGTTTAAGGATAGGAATAGGAAAGAGAATCTTGAAGAATAACTACTGCTCTTGATGTATCATGCTAATACCAAACAGATGCTCATTAATACAAGGACAAATGTTTCACCGACTGAGATTCTGGTGGGTGAAGCTGCATAGTTCAAGCAAGAACACTGCCATACACAAAGGAGGAAAGCTGGGAATATGGACCACAATTTTCTACAGTGTGCCAGGAAGACCACTGTCCAGTGCAGTCTCCCAAAGTGACAACTATGCTTGCAAGCAAAAATCAACATTCGCTTTCATAGATAGCACGTGTAAAAAAAAATGTAGAAGTGATGAGGCCCCACCGCAGATGTTAAGAGGCATAGTAAAATAAATCGCAGCTACTTTTACAGTGGGGTTTGTTATCGTCAAGACAAGGCCTCAGGAAGCTCATCCAGCCCTGAATTCCTGATGGCCTTACTGTTATCTCCAGCGGGTTAAGATAACAGCTACCACAGCTGGCTCATTACATTGTCTTATGGCTATTTAATGACAAGTGAAAATAATATTAAACCAAACTTACTAAGAACAACTGCATGAAGTGCTCCTCCCCGTGACATCAACATCTTAGTCCCTTTCAGTCCCCCTTGGCAGTGTGCTGCTGATAGACGAACCCCCCCCCCCCTCTCTCTCTCTGAGACCACGTTGCAGTGGAGACTCACCTATGGCGGCTGATCCTGAATAAAAGATCTTCCTGTTTTCCAGTTCATTTACTATTATAAAAACATACCCAATGGGTCTGGTATGGTGTAAAGTATCAAAGTTGTGAGAGTGAAAACAACTCCTGTCAATCTTCACAGACTCGAGGGAGCTGTGGAGGGACAAAGCTGGGAGGCTGGGAGGGAAAGGTGGCTTACTGTCGAATGGCAGAGTATTCCATCCCAAGGCTCCAGAACCACGACCTTTTAAACTCACAGAAATGCTAAAGTCTCTCTAAGGGACTGGGGGTCATAGGTTAGTTAGATACAGTCTGAGTTTAATATTAATATGCCTCAGGGCCCAGCAACACATGTGCAGACACACACACACATGCACATACACACGTGTGCGAGAGAGTGCGCACATGCAGACACGCATTACTTCTATATGGATATTTTCCCAACAAGTGCCTGTCCAATCCCAGACTGCTGCCCCTTTTGCTTATTGGTAGATTTGGTCAAAGGTTATCGTTTAAAAATATCTTACACATTCCTTCTCATTTGTGTCTTTTGTTTGCTTCTTTCGTTTTGTGTTTTCGAGACACGGTTTCTTGTAAACGTAGGAATGGCGTTTAGGCATCTTTTGTCCTCTGCAGTTTCCAGCTGGCATCGTTCGGACAAAGGCCTTCCCACCGTTACCCTGACTCCAATGACATCTCTGGTGCAGTGGGGGCCGGGGCGCTGAAGAGTCCTTTGGTTAAGGGCGCTGTTTTCTCCTACGTGAGGAGGTAAGCTGGCCTGTTCCTTGCCTGTTTGCTGAAGGGCCTTCTGTGGACCATTACTCCTTATATCAGCAAAAGAAAAAGCGAATTATCGACGATGGGAGCTATTGAGGTAAATCTTGGCAACCAATCCACTCAGCCTGAGAAAAGCCGGGCTACCATCTGAGAGCCGCGTGTACCCTACGTTTTGTGTCTTTGTGCACCAGACTAGCTGCTCCAGCCGCGTGGGCTCTGGCGAAATTTTCTTCGATGTAAGTGACCACCTCCTCCTGGCGCCCTTAAGTAATTCATGCTTCTCCACCTGAGCACAGTCTTAGGGACTGCTGAAAGGGAACTGTTTACTCGACCCGACTCGGACTTTATAAGAGTATGTATTTCCTCAAGACCGGTGGCTTTCGCGCAGAAAGAAGGGGCAGGAGGAGGGGTAGAGGAGCCGCGGTGGCGCTACAGAACCGCTGGGAGTGGGGTGGGGCGAGGGAGCTGGACCTGGAGATGGGTGAGAGAATCAGGAAGAAATGCAGCCTTAAGCGAGCTGCAGGTCACATCCCAGACCTTCCCCAGGAAACACCAGTGCCTGCCCGGCCCCAGCTTCCCTACCCACCCCCACCCGGCTCCCAGAGCACACTTATCCAAGGAAATCATCGAAATATCTGAGAACAAGGGAGAAAATATGAAGGTACAAACGCTCACGAAATACAGCAAATTCCTCACCAGGAGGAGCTGGCCTGCTCTGAAGGCCTCAGCCGAGCCTCGGAATAAAGGAATAAAGGGCCGTTTAGGAAAGGCGGTGGAGCTGCATACAGGCGATGCAGCTCTCGACTCTTGTCGTTAGGAGAGTGCATTGAATGCAACCATTGAAATCGTCCTGGGCCTCTGGCTGGGTTCTCGCTGTTTTGTTTTTGTTTGGTTTTTTTTGTAACCTGCCGCCCCTGGCTCTGTCTCACCTATGATGGTGCTCTGAACGTCTTTATTCTGGAGAATTCCCACAGCTAGAAGGCTGTCAGCAGATGCAGCTCTTCAGCTTTGGGAACCCAGATAAGCTTTTCTCTATAAATTATGCAGCCTATGGTATTCAGTCACAGCTGCACAAAACAGTGCCTGGGAGCTTCCATCTTGCTCTGGTAGTCTCCTTGCTTGCGGGTTTGATTTCTCAGTCACTTCTCTCTGCTGTCACAGGGCACCAAGTACTCCACCCATGTTCCAATCCTGCAGTCAAGGTGCTTTGCTACTCCCCACTTGGGCTTTGCCTCCTTAGCTTAGACAAGAATTTTACTTTTAAATTCAGGCATGGAAGTGCCAACAAAGCAGAAGACGGAAGACACAGGGAAAGCTGTCAGAAGCGAAACTGGAGCTGGTCTTTGTTGTCGGGACAGGGTCTCCTCTAGCCCTGACATGACCATGGGTCATCATGGAGTAGACACGCTGTGGACACCCGAAGGATGAACGACTCTAGATTTACAGTATCGGTAATGGGGCTGTTATATTCCCCCATAGGAAGGAGGATAATTGCATAACCTCCTTGGGGTTCCTACTGGAGTAAACAGGGATTGGAAGGCTGGCTGGAGGCGGGAACACCCATGATGGAGCTCTCCTGAGTTATCATCCATGCTGAGTTGGAACTTTTTGATAACTGCGGATTCACCCATGATCCTCTACGTAACCCCTTCCCAAGACCTGTCAGTAATTCCAGTAAACTTATTGGCTCACTAATGTGAACCTGGAGGAATTATTTCTTCTATATTGTAGTGTCTTGATTGGACAAATAGACATTTCTTCACATCTTGGGAAGTCACACCATGCCTTTGTTCAGCCCTAACCAAAAATATATAATTGTGGAGCAGGTGTGCCAGGTGAGGACTATCTCAAAAGACTCCACCAGGAGGACAGCCCTGCAGAGAGGGTCCTGCCACCACACAGAGGCTACTGCACCACACAGAGGGTACTGCCACTGCATAGAGGGTACTC